GGGGGCTAAGATTAGGTCCAAATATTAGGACGAGGCTTTTCTGTTTTGAGTGAAGATATATTACAAGAATCATATAATTATGCACAGATCTTATAAACAATTAGTGATGGCAATGGGGTGGAGCATCGATGTCCCGCCACGTCCCACCTAAACCCCTCCCCACCTCAGTCGAGGTGGGGCAAGGTACGAGGCGGCGACTTACCCCGTTTATTTTTTATTTTATTTTTTTGTCTTCAAGGGGTGGGGAGTTATGCCCCTCCCCGTCGCATCACGTCCCGTCAACCTAACGAGGTGGGTTTTTCCCCCATTCAGGGCGGGACGGAGATTTTTGCCATCCCTATAAACAATTTGCGAAGCACAATGCAAGAAAAAATTAATTTTGTCATAGACTCATCATGTTCATAATCAATAGAGATGAGTTGAAGTTTTTAAGACTGGGAAAGCACACACTATCAAGAACCTAAATTGTTACATAGTTTTTTTATCTTTAAATCAATAAGTATTTTGCAGGTGAAGAACGATGACACAACCGGTCAACCCCTTCAAAGCACATAGTTCAAGAACTTCAAAATTTTGTGAGATCGTAGTTCTAATCTATGCATCAATAAAGTATGTTTGCAGCTCCCACCACATTTTAGACTCAATTTTCGCACCAGACATTATTTAGATGCAAAACCCTGGTGAAAAATTCAGGGAAACTCATTTTGTTTTCATAGTCCAAGAACCAAGTCACAACAAAACTGAAAGATAAGAGCATCTCAAATTGTGGCGGTGTAAAATAAATATTTAGATCTACAATAGAGAGACGCAAATGTAAATTGCATTTTAGGGCTCAAAATGAAAAAGAAAAAAATACATCTTTTTTATTTTTATTTTTTTTACCCATATACAAAAGGCAAAAAGTGAATTTTAAATCTTTTCATCGAAACAAAATTTGGATTTAGATTCATCGAGATATAAATGAAGATGTAACAGTATTTTTGAAAATATCAATATACATCTAATTTTATACCAACATTAGAGATGCTTTAAGAAATGTAAATATAAAAGAAAAAAAATAAGTTAACAACTTATTTGCATAAATTTCATATATTAAGGACCATGGATGCAATTTTCTAAAAAACAAACTTTCTACGTCTTCTTCCCAAAAACCCTGTCCAATATTCTCTAAAATCTTCGACTACTCTCAAACAGAGGGATCGTTGGAGCTCCAACTTGCCAAAGCATTTGCAATATTTGCAGAAATGTGAGTTATTTAATTATTTACTGGGCCTTTTACACGTGCACACAAATATATATGCGTCTTTAAGCTTAAGTATGAAATCAATCAATAAATCTATAAGATTTGTTATTAGAAATTTTGATTTAAATCTTTAAAATTTGAAGATTCACTGCTGCAACGATGCCCTTTTGTTTATAGATTAAGATTAATTCTGCCCAGGGTGCGATGAAGATCACTGTGTACTTGTCCAGTCGAGGAAGAGTGAGATCTTCTGATCTTTGTGCTTATTATGTATTTGCAAAATTTAAACCCCGCACCCTAACATTTGTCCTAATCAATGAAATGATATGCTGTTTTTGTAGCGTGGAATTGCAGACTTGTAAGTGTAATTCGTGAAATATAAGCAACGATGAATTGAAACATTTGTAATTTCCATATAAATCTCCAATTTTCTGCTATTGAAACAACACAAGGCTTCGTATTAGATTTTTTGAATGAAAAACAATGTATTAAACTCCATAAGGAGAAGAGCAAAACATTCCATTAAAGGAGGAATTATACTCCATGATAGGAGGAACAAACAACTCCAAAATAGGAGGATGATAACACTCCATAATAAGAGGAAGAGAAAGACACTCCACAAAGGAGGAAAGACACTCCATATAGGAGGAAGAAACCTTCTTGGAAGGAGGGATTGGAGACTACAATTAAATGAATTAAAATGTATACAAACTCTAGTATTTGTAGAGAAAATAACTAGCTAACTAGGAAGTCTCTAGAATCTGGAAATTCTGGAATAAGAAGTAGTCTGCCGGACATGGACTTGGTTGAGCTGGAAGTGAATATCCTGTTAAGCTGGAATATTCTGCTGATGTGGATTTTATATTCCAACACCCCCCCCCCCCCCTCAAGAAGTACTTGAAGATCCATCTTGAAGATTAAGGAGTGAAAATAAGTTTTGACAGAATAATGGCTTCTGAAATGGAAACGTCTTCTGATGGCTCAGAAGCTTGTGGTGGCTTTGCACATCCCTTCATTAGATTTCATAGATGATCGAAGTGGAAAATGAAGTGGTTTTGAAGATGATTTTCCAATTTTCTACAGTGAATTTGCATCTCAAACCAGCATATCTAATTAGAAGCTCCAATTAATATTCTAGATTGTCAATGTGGAAGGATCAACAGAATGTTCACCAGTTTCCAACCAGCAAAGGGACAATTCCAACAAATGAGATCAGAAACTTTAATGACAAGCATGAAACCTGCTAAAATGAGTGACGAAGTTAGGATTTCAAGATCCTCTAAAGTCTCCACTATTGACGTATCAAATTTGCAGATATTCCAACAATATCAATACTTTTGGAAGGAGTTTGGAAAGATTGGGAAAGGAAACCGTTGATGTTCAAGATCTGAAGAGAACCAAATTTGAAAGAGTCTCACTGTATCTGCATCTAAATCCGGTCAAAGCTTCCAGCTTCAACAGTACAATCTCCACCGAATCCGAATCCTCTTTCTTCAAATCCTTACAGATCTGAATCTGATTTAATTTATTCTCCAGCAAAGACTTCGAGAACGAGCTGGATCTAAATAATATCTCAGATCCGGCCGCCGTCGTGACCACAAATCATTTTGATGATAACTCCAGATCCGTTCTTCAAGCAGTAGTTGAAACCAATCGGACCTTATTTATGATTAAAGGAACTGAAAATCTACTGGCTACTGAAAATGAAACTTTCCAGAATTTTGCCGAAATGAAAGAAATACAGCAAAATTAATACAGCAGCAGGAAGCCTATGCTCTGATACCATATTAGATTTATTGAATGAAAAACAATGTATTAAACTCCATAAGGAGAAGAACAAAACACTCCATTAAAGGAGGAATTACACTCCATGATAGGAGAAACAAACAACTCCAAAATAGGAGGATGATAACACTCCATAATAAGAGGAAGAGAAAGACACTCCACAAAGGAGGAAAGACACTCCATATAGGAGGAAGAAACCTCCATGGAAGGAGGGATTGGAGACTACAATCCAATGAATTAAAATGTGTACAACCTCTAGTATTTATAGAGAAAATAACTAGCTGACTAGGAATTCTCTAGAATCTGGAAATTCTGGAATAAGAAGTAATCTGCCGGACATGGACTTGGTTGAGCTGGAAGTGAATATCCTGTTAAGCTGGAATATTCTGCTGATGTGGATTTTATATTCCAACACTTTGTTTGATCTTGAATCTCATAGAGGAAAGCCTTAATTGTGTTCTTATCTACTGAAATTTTTGACCTAAAATATGTCCCACTAATGAGATAGATGGGGAGATTTCTTCTGCATGTGTTATTCGCTGACAATATGCACGTCAGTCTTTAAGTCCAATGTGTTTTAAAGTTTGCAGGTTCAACTTTTATTTGGGTAGGTCGAAAAAGAAAAGGCATGGTTTTTTGTTTTTTCCTTTTCCCTATTCTTGATCTGGATTCAAATGGAGCTCAAAGTAAAAAATCTTAGGATTGATTTTGTTTTTGAATATCCTGACAACAACTCAAACCTCCCTTTCGTAGATAAGTTATAATTTTCCAGTGGTGCTTTCTTAGTTATACAAAGCTAACCCTCCCCTGCCACATGGGACTGATGGTCAATCTGGCAAAACAGTGCTTACCGTTTTTCACTGAAATAATGAGATTCTTGTTTTGGCAGTGAAATATGGGACTGGGAAGCAGAGGAGTAATTGGTGATAAATGGTCCTCGAGGATACTTTGGTTCACTGCTATTGGAAGTGCAATTGGTATGCAACCCAATAATAATTTGCTTGACACTAGCATGTTTACTGAAGGTCATGATTGTTGTGGTTTCTAACTGAATTTACATTCGAGTAGTGACTGATAATTGTTGTTCCTTTCTAAAAGAATGTCAATTGTCGTGTCTTTGTTTATGTTCCATGATTTTGTTGTCTACCAATAGATTGAACTATTCATGTGGTGAATTCATGTTAAATCGTTCATCGCTATAACCTTTTAGAAATCCAGAAAACCATGTATTTACTTCTACATGATTGAGGAAGACATTTCAGTAAATTAGAGCTTTGGTATTATTTTTACGTGCAATATTTTTGGAATAATAACAGTGCCCCGGGATTTCCCTTGTAGGATTGATGAGAAACCCTTGCTTGTAAAGAGTCGGAAAGGATTCTAGTTGGATGATGTAGAATTTCTTGTTTTTTGTGGTTCCCCAACCCCCGCAAAAAAAAAAAAAAAAAAAAAAAAAATTCTCTCACACACACACATCTAGGATGCCCATTAGATTATTGAGGATAAGATTTGGCATAATTTGTTATAGCTTCTGCCTTCATTCTCTCCCTTTATCATTTGCTTCTTTAGGGTTTTATTTGGTGGCAGTAGAAAGACAAACACAGAATAGAGAAAAAATGATGGCTGAATCGATGATGAATGCAGGATCGAGTGCTGATGGTGGTGAATAAATCTGAATGCAGACTTGTCTAAATGTAAAAACAGCACTCTTTTTCCATATTTAGCCCCCGTTTAGCCCTCATTCTTTCCAAATTTTAATGGTTAGAATAATGTTTTTTTTTTTTTTTGAAAAATGTGTGGTTTAAAAAGAACGAAAGTTTTTTTATTTTTATGTAATATTATTTTATGGAAGATTGTGTGGTTGAAAATAAGAGAGAGAGAAAGAATGTGAAGGAGAATGGGGGCCAAACGAGGGCTTAATGTTTTTAATTTCCTAACCAAATCAACTGTTAAATGCAAGCGCTATTTTGATTTCCTATATTATCGTGGATGTTTTATTAGCTTTGTTCTACTATAATGATAGAATAATGCTATTTACAGTCGTTCGTTGGAGATTTCTCAGAAATTCAAACATAAAATAAGGCTTAGCTCCTATTTTGTAAAAGTCAAAATCAATAATTAATTTTAATTACATATTTTATAGGTTCCAGAAATTATCAACGCACATTTTAACTCCATTTAACAAAATTTACTAAAATTTTGATTTTAATTTTCAACAGTGCTTCATATAATAAATTAGGGATGATTGAGATTCCCAGGGTTGTCATGGATTGGTGGATCATAATCAATAAGATTATGACCTCGTTTGATACACATTAATGTAAAATTGAGAATGAAAAATATAGTCGTTATGAGTCCCACACAAAAGATAGAAAGTCAAATATGATGGCTTGATGTGATGAATAACGATCATATTTTTCGTTTTAATGGGTAAATAATGGGAACCAAACGGAGGCTATGTATGTTGTAATGCCTTTTTCCAAGATGATGTCATGGAGAGATGCTTGTTCCTTTTTAAAGCCTCAATAAAAAGCTTTGACCGATTATAATTTGCTGATAAAGATATGACGTCCAAGATCTTCTATTGGCCATGTCGACTGATTGTGTATACGGCTTCCCTGTTGGAGGGTTGCATATCACGAGAAGTTCATATCAAAATAGGTCCATGGTCTTGGATACTGCCCTAGGGCATCGTTGATGGTTCAGAGACCTATCCTTGGCTTCAGATATTATTACATGAAGACACTTTCAAGATGTTGGATAATTGGGTGACCCTAAGTGTCACATAGTCATAAGGGTCTTTCCTTTTATTTTCACCAGAGATGAGAAATAGTTGTGATAGGACGTGTTATCAATTTAGCTCTACTCAAGGTGAATATATAGTAGATATCAATATGCTCATAAAGAAATGAAAAATAGTCTCACTTTTTAAATTATGTAAATTAAGAGCTACTTTCTACTAATAATACTTTAGTCCTCAAAAATTAATGGAAGGCCCTAGTTTTAAACAATCTCTTTATTTATTCACCTTTCTTTGTGAATTTTTCTAATTTACGAACATAAAGTCTGTTTTCGAAAAATGGCTTCTTTTTTTAGAATGTGTTGTTAAAAAGTAATTAAAATGTTATGAAAAAAAATGTGAAAATGATTTGTTTGAGAACATATATTAATTAAAAATAAATTTAAAAAATTTATTTCCCAAAATTGCTCCTGTACAAGGGCTAAATTTATAGAGTTAATTTAAGCAATAGTTACTGAACTTTGTTATAGATTACTATCTGCTCATCGAAATTTAAAAGATTATTCTTTGCTCATTGAACTTTGTTATAAGTTATTGTTTTGCTCACTAAAATTTAAAATGTTACTAATTGTTCGCCCAAATTTAAACAAAGTTATCTATCAATCACCTACATTATTTTCATGAGTATTATCTATTGCAATGTTTAGTGAGCAATGAGTAATTTTATTTAAATTTAGGTGAGCATTTAGCAGTCTCATAAATTTTGATGAGTATGTAGTAACTTACAGCAAAACTGAGTAAGCAATAAGTAGCTTTTTAAAAATCAGTGAGCAAGTGGAAACATATAATAAAGTTGAGTGATTGTTTCAAAAAATAACTCTTAACAAATAAAATGATTGAAAAATAAAATCTAAAATTCTAAGAAAATAATCTTTCACAAAAAAATAAAAAAATGAAAAATAAAAAATCTAAAAAAATTGAATTATAAAAATTTTATGAAAAGATAAAATTTATATTAAATACTTTAAACTGTAGATTATTATTTTAGATATTGGATAATTAACACATAGCGTCCTTACTTTTTTCACTATTATCATGAAAAACGTATTGACCTTTTTATTTTTTGGTAATTTCAACCTTATTTTCACATTTAATTGCACAAAATGTCATTTCATCTATTTTCCCAATCATAAGCTATGAAATCACGAATATACTTTTCTATTTAAATATAATAAAAAGAAAAAGAAAGAACTAATTACAATCATAGCATGCAAACGAGTTCCAAATAAATTATTAAAAGGGTTATTAGGAACTTTCACTATTATTGTGAAAAAGATCTATTTTTTGGTATTTTCACCTTTAATTGTGCAAACTATCATTTCTATTCATTTTCATAAAATTTATCAATAAAAGTCATGAAATGACAAATATACCATTCTATTTAAATAAAAAAAATAAAGAAAATGATTTTTTAATTTCTAATTTTTAATAATTTATTTGGGACTACTTTGTACTTTTTAAATTTTTTTAATCTCTAATTTTTAATAATTTATTTGAGACCCGTTTGTACTTTTAAAATTTTTTTTTTAAATCTTTTAATAATTTATATGGAATTCGTTTGCATTTTTTTAAAAAAAATTGAGACTATAGTTACAATTAGTTATTTATTTTTCTTTTTTTTTATTTAAATAAGAGAGTATATTAGTTATTTCATAGTTATTTATTGAGAAATTGGATGAAAATGAATAGAAAGGATGATTTGAGCAATCAAATATTTAATTAAGGTGAAAATACTAAAAAATAAAAGGTATTGACGGTTTTCACAATAATAATGAAAGGTAGAGGTATTATATGTTAACCATCCATTTACTAATTTATTTGGGATTTGTTTGCACTTTTTTTTTTAAAAGGGACTATGGTTGAATTATTTATTTATTTTTATTTTTATTTTATCTAAATAAAATGTTATATTCGTTATTTCAGATTTTTTATTGGAAAAACGGATGAACATGATCTTTTGTGCAATGAAAGGTGAAAATAAGTATGGAAATTCAAAAAAAAAAAAAAGAAAAAAGAAAAGAAAGGTTAGAACTTTTTAGAATAATAATGAAGTGTAAGGACGTTATGTGATAATTACACTAAAACACTAAAATCAATACATATAAACATATTTTCATTTCATATCATACTCAATTTATTATTTGTTTTTTTTACATTTATAGCGAAAAAATTGTATGACTCATTAATTTTAAAATGTATATATTACTTAATAATAGATCAACATAAAACTGATTTATTTTTGCTAAATAATCAAATTTCATAGAATAAAATGTTATAAAAATAAGTTCCCAAAATTTTAAATCAAACATGTTTTCTAGTGTTTTGTTTTGACAAATAAAATTTTCAAATTTGCATATTCGCTGACCTTATTATATTGCTCGTCATTCATTTCCTATTTGATTGGTCAGGAGGATGCAAATATCAGTTTTACCACATCTAAAGGTTCTAGATTTGGGCCAAAATTCTCTTCAATCAGTAACATTTCTCTCTCTCTCTCTCTCAAGTATAAAGGGTGACTTAAGTCTTCAGGTCACATCTCCAAATGGTAAAAAGGGAGGGTGGAGAAATCCAATTTTATTTGAGACTGTTGTGTTAAGAGTTCGAATCCTAAAATATGGATTTGACTCTTGGGTAAGTGCAAGTGTATAAGCAACCTTCCACCCTGTATCCTTGGAAACATAACCTGCGATTTACCTCCCTCACGATACTCCAGGACAGGGGCGGTGGGGGACCCTTAAGGTTGGGGTTCAACCTTTTTTTAAAGGGTGACTTAAATTCGAATTAGATTTTACTGACACCTCCTGTAGAAGATTTGACTCAAGACTTTCTATTTCCAGTTTTGTGCCACTTCATTACACCCACCGAGCCACCCCAGCGTTGGGCATATTAACTTTCTATTAAAAATAATAATAATAATAATAATATTAATAAGTTGAACCCCAACTTTCTATTTCCAGTTTTGTGCCACTTCATTACACCCACCGAGCCACCTCAACGTTGGGCATATTAACTTTCTATAATAAAAAAATAAAATAAAATTGAGGGCCGCCCCGTCCCGCCCCTAAAACTTTCTATAATACTTGTATAAGGCGTGTTCGTCTCAACTTCCCATTCTTTTAATTTTATTAATAGGCCACCCATTGACGGGGTAATGGATGATAAAAGAAGAAAAATTTCAATTATCTAACTAAAGGAAAAGAAAAGAATACTTGTTGGGAAATAGGGGAAGTCAGCAATGGACACATGAGGATGAGGCTAGGATTTATCTCAATGGCTACTTTGCTTCTTAAGATGCCCTATTATAGTATTATTTTCCCTTTAAATGTGCATGGGGGTGTTGAAGTATTCTGAGTTAAGAAATGGAAGAATACGTGAAAAAAAATATATCGATTAGTCCGAGGCTTGAACCCATCTGAGTCTATGGAACGCATGGAGCTTACCATTTGGACTGTGGAAAACAATCTGAATCCTTTTATATCACCATTAATATTGCACTTTCTCTGCCAATTGTATTTGTTATACGCTCTCAAGCTCTTCCCTTTCACTCACCTACTTTATGTGATTTTGGGTTTAATTGTTTCAATCCTTGCATTTGTACTCTTATCCGTCCTATTAAAAGTTATATTTATATATTATAGCATTTGCCTGCAGATTGTTAAAAATTTGACTTCTCTTACGGAGCTTGATCTATCAGATAACAACATGTCTTCAGTTCCACCAGAACTGGCAACCCTTTGGTCTTACCAGTTCTTTGATTGGGTTTTCTGTCAATTGCCCGAGTTTTTGATTTCATCTGAAAGTGTGCTAATTCTATTCCCAATATGGAAATGATAAATAATTTTTACTCTTCCTTTTCTGCTTGAACTGGGAAATTGATTCAATCTTTTAATATTTTCTTGATTGCAATGAATGGATAAATTCTTATAATTGATGCACAACAAAGGCACTTGGTTCCTTCATTTTTGCTTTGCCTTGTTGTACTGAAAAAGGGAAATAAAGGGAAAGGGGAAGAGGAGAAGAATTTGCTAATCAATTGAAAATTGTTTAGTCATTAGCAATAGATGCTTTCTCACATTTACCATGTATATTAAGAGAGGAACTTTGTTTCCCGTACTTCTGTTTTGCTAATTGCTTTTTTGAATATCTGGTTCTTCAGGGTTTGCTTGAAGCCAACCTGCAAGTACTAAAACTTGATGGGAACCCATTGAGAAGGTACAATTCATCTTTTAGATTTACTCTTGTTTGAAGTTTGTGATTAGATAAATGATTTTTAGCTCAAATATTAAGAATAGGTCTAGTAAGTCAACCAAACCTAGTTGTGTCGTGTCTATACCCTGCACACCCCCATTCGAATTAACCATATCTAGTAGAGGCATCAAAATCTTTGGTGAATTAACAATTTCCAATTTTAATGTGTAAACAAGGTACAGCAAGGTGGGATACAAGTATATGATTATCCTCCATGTGTGCTGGAAATCTCCCGTGTTTCACACTTAAAAAATCCTTCTAGTCATTTTGTGGTAATGCTAACTGCTTAGAACGATCAAGGTTTTATTCTACCAAACCATACTGAGAAGCGCCTGCCTTCTAATTTTACACTCGCTCAATCAAATTCCCGATCTTAGTTGCCTACATTACTTTCAACTAAGTAATAACTCAGATATGAACAGGAGACGACATGAAAATCTAAATTATCTTAAGAGACTACTTTAGTTAAAAAAAATGTTTTAGAATAATTTGATGAATCTAATTGAAAATTCTTGCCTGGCAAGCTACAGAAGATGAAATGCTATTCTGTTAATTTCTGTTGAAACACCATTGTTTATGCGAGTTGATCGTAGGAGGATGCGGAACAATTGAAATGCACTTATAAAAAATAATGTCTCTGGCTTTTTCAGTATCCGAAGGGCTATATTGGAAGGAGGAACAAAAGCTATCCTGAAATATTTGAAGGACAAAATCGTTAAGCAATAATGGTTTTGTGTCTCTCTTCACGAAGATGCATTAGCAGGCTTTGTGTGCATTATTTCTGGGTTGATGAACTGAGAAAGAACAGAAATGGTTTGCTTTGATTTATTTCAATTTTCCAATTGGTTGTGGCGGGCTTGAGTTGATATAATACTTCCAGATACTTATATTATCATTGAACAATCTCTGTTATTACAACTAGCTTTTAGATTGCTATTTGGATGTTACTTCGTGTGGGCTGAATCAAAAAGTTCGTGAAAACTTGTGTAAATCATCGCCAATGTTAGTGCACGAACGTGCTTTTTTCCATGGTTGAACGAGTTGGTTCAGCAAATTAACGCCTTTTAGGACTTTCACATGCCCTGTACCCCAAGATAATTGCCGGTTTGAGTAGTTTTTTTAGAATATTGAAAAATGAGTTTTTAGAGGATGCGTGGTTAAAAAAGTACGGAAAAATTATGAATTCACATGCAAAAGCATATTATCGGAAGTGTGTAATTGAAAATAAGTTTTAGCATGGGCTTAAATCTTAAGATACTGGTGCCATAAACAACTGTTTTTTCCATATCATGCTTGTTATCACGTAAATCAGAGTAGCATTTTTCAAGTTAGCAAATATCTCAACACTTATTGCATGTACATTAAACAATAATCCACGATAAAATAGTTTAAGATATAGAATACGCTTCAATCCTATGTACCAAATATGCCACGTGTCAAAAATGTAGGTCAGTTCATAGTGCCGTTAAACAAAGTGGATTAATTTAATCAGGTCGTGGGTACAAGAGGGTTCGCTCATCCATACTACTCAATGAGCTGAAAATATATCTCCAGAGAAAATTTCATCATATGACTGTACAATTTCAACTAGTGTTCTAAATAATGTGTAGTGTTGTTAATCAACAAGGTCCAAGCGAACTGTTTAAAACATTGATCTCTACATTATGCCTGCTGTCTATATTACTAGACCGTAAAAAATAGCAGATCATATTATTGTGATACTAAAATTTTTGAAGTTGAGTTGATAATTTAGCTTCCCTCTCAAAAATGAGTGTTGGCTCTTGAACAAGTCTACTTAAAAACTCAGATTCGTTCAATTTTAAAAACATTCAAGTAAAACTCAACCAGATCTAACAATGAAGTGAATGAAATAAATACTAAACACAAGAACTTGCTATTCAGCGAACTAGCCACAAGCCATCATCAGTAACCGAAGTTCAAAATTCCAAAGATAACACATCATAAATTTCACCAGTAAATGGTTCACATTCAAATCTGCACTACTTCGATCAGTTTTACCGGCCCTGTTCCTCAATGTTGTTAGCAATTTTTACATGGAAATGTGGTGATAAATATGGTCATCAAGAGAAAATTCTCAACATCTAACCCTCCCATTGTTCTTCTATTAACAACTTCCTTTAATTGTCATATTCCTTGCTTGAGCCTTGATTGTCTTTTGAGGAGTTTTTGATAAGATCGATGATCATACTGTTAAAACTGTAGTTAGTGCTTCAAGACGGCTTATTTGCCTGATTGTCTGTTGCATCTTCAATAACAGCTTCTGAAAATTGTCTGAACTTGAGAACCTTATGAAGACGAGCAATTGGATTGACTTGCTTGCCAGGGGATTTTGGGTCTGCAATGAATTTTCCTGCAAAAAGGTTGGCCTCAGATGACCCAGTCTCTTCATGAACAACAGGAGCAGCATCTGCCAAAAAATGTTCAAGTAAATGAATTACACGTTGGATTCGTTCCATAGGGTCAAATGACTGTTAAAAGTTTCTGAAAGGAATTAAAACTCGGTACAACAAACTCGAGGCTCCATGGATTCCAGAAATTGGAGGTTAACATCTACGTAGCATGAATATGGAGTTGCAAGCTCCATTTTGAATAGATTTTTACATTAGTAGCATGAATGTTATTTTCCTTATTAAATGGCAATATATGATGAGTGCACAAGGGAACTCTGTAAACAAAGCTAAAATTAATGGGTTTACCATTCATAATTAGACTATTTTAAGTGGTTAAAAAAACACAAATCCACTATAATCTCCTTCAAAAATAAACGTTGCCAAATCAGAAGTAGTCGCTCACCAGTTTCATTGAAAACAAGGCAAGTACCAATTGTTTCTTCATATTCTCCTATCTGTAATAAAGGGAAGAGATAATAGGAAATATTACTGTAGGAAAGGGGGAAATATATCAACTCTCTAACACCAAGTGAAGTTTTCAGGGTCTCAAATATACCAGCTTAATTTTGTCATCGATAATCAGAATTGGGTTGAGTGTGTCCAGACCCTGCATTACATGTTGAATGATCAAATAACAGAAAATAAAAAAATAAATACCAAACAAAATTTACTTCAAGCACTTTAAAATTGATGAGCATTTATTTTGATTCTATAAACATTGAGTACATACTTAAGAATGCTAAGCCATCTTCAATTTAATTTTAATCTCTAAAAATCAGAAATAAATTGTTTCAATGAAGAGTTCTATAGATAACAATAAGAAATCGAAAAACAAATTACAAAAATCAAAAACTAAGATATTAAGAGTTTGACTGAATCCGGTTCCAGTGTTTGTAGAGCCTTGGAATTGAAATTGCACTGAAAAAGCTTACATTCATTCCAGTTCAAAGTCGCAACTCCTTTCCGTCAAAGTTAATAAATCTCCTAGCATATACAGGTGATTAGGACAAATTTATACACCCCTTTGATTTCTGAAAAAAATAAACAGAATTCCAGTAACAGCTTCGTGTAATCAAAGAAAAGAAATTCCATATAAATATATAACATATCAAAAATCGTACAGAGAGAACGTAAGGTGCATTCGGAGGAATGTGAATGTCAGCAACGCCATCCAGATCAATCAAAACATACTCTTCTTCTTCTTCTTCTTTTGATTCTTTATTGCCTTCCATTGATCCACAATCAGTGCCAGTTCTGTGATTTTGGTGGCCCGAGGTAAACTTCATAGAGTAGGCCCCCTCCAAAAAAATAAAAAAATAAAATTGTATTATGCATGCAAAATAGGTGACTAGGTGAGTAGCTTTTCAGTGTTTTCATTGGTTCAAATTCCTAAATAATGCTCTATTGGAGACCTCTCTCTTTGGCCTTTGCTCCCATTCAAACTCTTGTTCACCGGATTTTCAAACAGTTTATTGTTCCATGAAAATTACCTATTAGTATAAAATGAGAGGAGTGAACTCACAACTAAGATTCCTACACATTATAGAGCTTGTTACAATGCACAAATTCTAGGAATTTAATTCAACCACCTAGTCGCAATGCTTAAAAATAAATCAAGGAAAAGACAACTTATATAATTGAGTCACGCCCTTCATAGACTTAAAGAAAATATCATTCTTAGGATTGTCGTCTCACTATATTATATCATACAAAGAACGAATAGATCAAATTATAAGAATTAATGTAGATCTAGTTTATTGGGATTATCGAATAAATATAGCAATAAATAGAATAGAATTATAAAAAAGAAAAAAAAAAGATTCACATAGCCATTCCGAATTTCATAAGGAAAATGCTTCTTTTGTTTTTGTTATTCGTTGAAATTGGGGGTAGGTGTTGGTAAGATTTGGAAAAAAATGGTAGTCTAGTGTATTGTGGACATAGCAGACATTCTAATTTCTACCCAGTACCTACGGTGATAGACCACAGTACCCAGAATTGAAACTCCATCTTAATTATCACCACTATTAAAGTAACTGGAGTGACTGCTCTAATCAAATTTAGCATTATCGAATACCATTGCAATGGTTAAAGGTCTCAAAAGGATCATCAGGTCAACACTCAACAATTCTCAGCAACTTGTTCACCTGCAGATTTATCTTCTTAAATATTGTGATCGGTAAAAGGTATAAATTGATGGCATTCTTAGTTACAAACTTCGTAAGAGAAATCACATTGAAATAAAAAGTAATCAAACATATTCTGTACAAAAAATAGAGGTTTTTGATTTCTTAAATATACACGAATGTTTTCCTAAAGTTGCTGCCAGGGCCGACCCTGAGAATTTAGAGGCCTAGGCATTTAATTATTATGGGGCCCAAAGAAAACTTTATACAATTCAAAACAAAAAAATAGCAAAATAAAACTTCTCTCAAAACCCGAAAGATTCGGCAAGCATAAGATTAAACCTTCTCACATTTTGAGACGTAAAATTAGTAATCAAACTACTAAAATCAAAATTTTCCAACATATTTTTTCAATAGAAATCATAGTTAATCACGTACACGTTCTCAAGAAAATAAATTCTCAAACGAACTTCAAGTTGCACGTGACAGAATATTGTTTCTGAACTTCATACTCCTTCACATTGTAAATATACCATTTTTCATGGTTGGTTAGGCAGAATTTTTCACCAACTTGAGATGGCAAATTATTCTCTTCCCACATCTATCCCTTCCCATCAAAATGGCCCAACCGGCTCACCCTCAATTATAAATGATAAATCCCAGCACATAAGATTCGGCAGACATAAATTAAGACAGGATGCATACATATGATATTGCTAGAACTGAATTAGCTCAACAGCCAGATCGATTCCTCAACATCTGGCGTTTCCGGCAACCGGTCGAAGGTCCGTTGCTTAATAAACCAATTGAAGCATTTGTTGTCGACCGAAAAATGAAGTTTCTGACTGAGAAATCAATGGAAAAACAGAGAAGTGAGAAACCATACAGGAATGGAAACATGGACAGGCCAACATAAGCATAAGAAGAAGACGAAGAGACCGAACCTGTCGTTGGGTAATCGGATTTCGTCGGAACTTTTGCAGCTTTCTGGTAGACTGTAGTTTTTAGTTTTAGGGATTTCCGAGTTACTATTGTTCTCTACTTCTCTTAAAGTTTATCATGTACACGATTCTTCAGTTCTTGATAAAAAGGACTCAAGATTTTTTTGGTGAAGATGATTGGAATGGATTTGGAATGGAGAAGAAGGCGGTCTGTTTTCCTCTTTATTTGCCCAAATTTATTATTATTTTTTTAAGGGATGGGCTGTTTTGGGCCTTTTTAGAAACCCCTCGAAGTTTGAAGCCTAGGACAGTGGTCTTACTTGACTTGAGTTGAGCCAGAGCCGCCCTGCCTTATTGGCCAATGAAAAAAGAAAAAGTCATATGCTTGAATTATAAAGACAAAGTTCATTATCAGCCCTATTCAATCCACTTCATCTGATAAATTCTTCAATGCGAAAAAAGAAGAAGGAATACATATAAATTAGATTTTATACAGGTAGTAGGTAGGCAGTTGCGTGGAGCGACGGAGTGGACAGCTGAGAGAGAAGTGAGAAGAGAGAAGATGGCATCGCCAAGCGTCAAGGTTAGAGCCGGATCTTTGGATTTTAACTTTCTCTGGTTGTTTCTTGCCTCTTGCGATTGGGACGAAGGGAAGGGAAGACGGGTAGGAAATTAGAGATTAGGTATTTTTTTTAAAAATAAAATAATAATAAAATATGAGGCCCTTAAATTTTTCGGCCTAAGGGAAGGGCATCACTTACCTCGACCCAAAACCGGCCCTGTCCACAATTAAAGAGTAGAAATAAATCGTTTTTGTTTCTAGTCCGCTTTTAAGGATTCTAGTTTGAGGTTTTTGTAGTGGGTCAACTGTGGGCTCAATGGCTAGTTTTGGGCCTCTGTTATAGACTATTCATTAATGGGCCAGCCCAGCATCTGAGGGAAATTATGGCTGAGCTTAGCTGTCATAGCTGGTGGAGTGGCGCGTGAATATCTTTTATTTTTTCAGTCCAATGGGGTTTATCTCTTTTTTATTATTTTGTAATTAGGTATAGTTAATTAATTAATTATTATTTACGACTATTATTAAAATGAACGAATTGTTCAATAAATTTGTACTTATTCTTCAAATAATTAATTCTAAAATGATAAATTTAGTTGAACGTCAATATTACATTACTTAATTTCGTTGACTGCCTCAGCCACAAACAAATAAAAAATAATAATGAAAATTTAATTAGGCAAGGTATATACTTTAGTTTCCAGCACATTCTGCTTGATGTAAGGGGAAGAAGAAGTCAAAGGGAATTAATTATATATTAATAATATTAAACTGAACAGTGATTGCGGTTAGTTCAAGAAACAGCGCCAGCATCTGACATAGAATTTCACAAAATCCATTGCCAACGTGTCTTCTCAAGATTCTTCCAAGTGGCTAAAACATGTGAACACCGACAATCCATCCAGGAACAAGAAACAAACTCGAAACCCCAAAAATAAGTATGAAGAAGAGCAAGATTCCTTTTACTTTTTTCATATTTATTACTTTCTTCTATAAATTCCCTCGTTTGTATCCAAACAGAGAGATAAAGAATATTGTGGGAAATGGAAATGGAAATGGAAATCTGGATTTTTCAGTAGTTTTTTTTTTTGCCCCAATCTCTTTCAAATTTCCTAGTTGTAAAGTTTTGTCCTTAAGCCAATTTTTCGGCTCACTTATTTTATTTGTTGTTGCCAAAAAGTGGAATTAATGGGCGCCGAAATTGGCTTTTTCACTGCTCACTTTCCCCCTTTTTTCTCATCTATATATACAATGATTTCACTATTACTTGTATGATTTTCATGACCTACTTGATTGAATCACTTCTCATTTTCTGGTCTTCCAAGTCCCACATTTTTCTGTTTTCTGTCCCTTTCTTCTAGACATTAGCGTTGGATTCGGGCTACCCTCTTCAAATTTACGCAATTTCGGGTTCTGTCTTTATGTTGTGAAGTTTGATTTGTGGGTTATCGGATAATTGTTTCTTCTGTAACTTCGCTATCTGGAATCTTGACTTTGTTTTGTTTAGTGTCTAATTGGGTTCGATTTCTTCTTTCTGATGTTTTGTTTCAATTCAACCTATAAATTGTCGTTGAAATTCTCATCGAAACCCCTGTATTTGTACTCAATTTCATCCAAGTTTTATCAATTCGATATTTTCTTCATTAATTGCCTCAATTGTTTCCGATTTCGCCTAAAAATTTGACCAGTTATTGCTGAAATTCTCCTGACCAGCCTCAATTGCTCTTATTTTTCTTCGAAGAATAGCACCGTTTACTCAATTTGAGTGTATATTAGGAAAATGGGGGATCGGTTTAGGTCATGTTTAATGGATGACTTGCCACTGCACTTAATATTCGAAATCTTGTCCTCTGGTCGATTGAGCGCATTGGATTTGGTGTGTTTAGAGCTGACTTCAAGGAGTTTTGGGGCAAATCACGGGTTATTTCCCCTAAAGTTCCGATCTTTAGTCGATTTTGCAGCGTTTAGGCTTTGCGAGTCACACCCCATTTACTCTTCCCTGCAAATCAACTCTAAGAACGAGCTTTTTGATCGCTGTAATGGGAATTGGAAGCGTGTGTTGAGGTTCTTGCAGTCCGTGGAACAGTCGTGTGACATGGTTCAAACCTATGCAGGCAATGTATTATTTCTTGCTTTTTTTTCCTTTATCTTTGTAGAATTATCCCCCTACTCGAGGCTGTCCTTAAATGAGAAATTTTGGTGGAATTTTGAAAATAGGAAGCTAAAATGGACGAAACGAAATGATATATTGTATGCAGGAAAAAAGAAAAAAAGAAAAAAGAGTAAGGGTGGTGAAATTGAAGGACCTATTATTTATTTTCACAAAATTTGCCTTTCATAAAGTATTCTAAACTGTAAGAAAAGTTTGAACTTGGCAGTCTTCTTAGATGCTAGTAGATGAGCCTTTCCAATTCACTTTAATTTTCTTTCTTTCCTCAAATCTGCATTTCAAATAGAAGTGAAGGGGAACATGTTGTTTAGACCTTCTCTAGAACTTTTTTGCTGTATGAAGGACGAAGTTTTTGAATGTATTTCATTAATTCAAAGATATTTTCTCCAGATGCAGATTAAGAGTGGAAGATACCATACGTTGCTGATCAGCGATTCAGATGTATACTGTTGTGGTTCCAGTTTATGTGGTGTTCTTGGTCATGGTCCAGAAACAACACAATGTGTAGCATTTTCACGGATCAGCTTTCCATGTTCAACACCAGTGATCCAAGTCTCGGCCTCCCACAATCACGCTGCCTTTGTCACTCAATCAGGAGAGGTTTGTCTTACCCTGGCGCTTCACACATTTTGCTGTTTCAATAATATGTTCATTAGTTATAGCTATTGCTACCCTAAATAGTACCATGGATTTGTTTGACACATGGTACTAATGGATTACTTGCTACTACCCGCAATACTTTTGAAACTTTCTGTTATTTCAAATAAGAGCAGTTCTGAGGAATTAGTTCCTTGTTCACCTTTTCCTATTTCTTATCCATTGTTTTTTCACAGCCATGCTCGTATGCTGTGGAAATATCTCAATATATCATTATGCTAATGGAAGAACGGCAGCGAGCACATGCATGAATGTGCATATGCTAAAATAACATGCACAATCTTGCCAGCTCCTCTTCTTTTACTATTTGGCAGGGAGCATTCTTTTATCCAAATCAGTATTACTGATATTGATATACAGCCCCCGAAGTAGACTCCAACAGATATTCTATTTTGACTTCTAAAATATTTGGAGAGCCAAAGCCACTCTTTATTTGTACATTATAATGGTTGCATTTAATAAGTTGCAGATTTTGACGTTCCATTGAATTATTCGAACCATCTTTGAATTTATTAGCTATTGACATGTAAAAATACATATAATTAAAAATGATGAAAAAATACATGTATTTTGGAAAAAGTCAAAAATAAAGAGTTCAAAAAATAGCTTGTTGGAGTGTGTAAAAAAATTTACACTTTAAATTTAAAGTTGCTGTCTATTTTATTGGAATGCTATTCTGTTTCAGTTTTAGTGAAACAACGCATCAACATGATTTCTTATCCTTTTCAGGTTTGTGCTAGTAAGAGGAAAACTTTTGTTTTGGTAGACAATGGATCAGTTTATGGATTTGGGTGGATGGGTTTTGGAAGCCTTGGATTTCCAGACAGGGGAGTATCTGATAAAGTAGTGAAACCTCGAGTCCTTGATAGCTTGAGACCCTACCACATTTCCCAAATTAGCACAGGATTGTACCATACTGTTGTGGTAACAAACCAGGGACGAGTTTTTGGGTTTGGAGATAATGAAAGAGCACAGCTTGGGCATGATACACTAAGAGGATGCCTTGAACCGGCTGAAATCCTCATCGGAGAAATGGTAAATCACTCTGTATCATAAAGCAGGTAACAATGGTAATTGTTGATCAGTTCGTTCTGGATACTTTTAGTTCCGTTTAAGAATTTCTTGAAATATTGTTTTGAGAATAGCAGAACTTTCTGGTATGTGAACCCCCAATGTCGAGTGAAAGGATCTAATATACCTTGATTTAATTGTTTGATTGTTCTATCTATTGTAATTGAAGACAGGAAGAGTGTTAAATGTAGATTCTCATAAACGTGATTCAGTGGTTGTCATTTACAAAATCACATATTATGGATCCACAACTTTCATTAACTCTTCAACAATACGTTTCCTTCCAATACCAAACTACGTAGAATTTGGAGAAAAGTGAAGCTCTTTTTCGTATTTAATTTTAATTTATTTATTCAGCCAAGGAGTTATTGCATCCCATGTTGGGCCAACAAGAACCATGATTTGAACCAATCTACATGTACAGGGGAAAATTTTACAGAAGTCTTATAGATAACACATATCAGTGGGGTGAATGATTTATTTTTTGCAATAAAATATTCACATAGGGCCACATCCCTGTGAACCTTCTGTGATTTATTATTATTATTATTATTTTTTACACTGGGATTAATACAAATGATTTTTATGGTCTACGCAAATAAAAAGCCATACATCGTAATATGGTAGTGTAGGAAGAGATTGACATTTGACAGGTGACTTTATTGAAATAATATCAAGAATTACCTTGTTTAATAATGAGGCATTTTCAAGAATGTTTAATTTTAGGGATGTGAGTCGAAAAGTATCCTATTTTGATAATCCTTGTAAAAATGTCCAATTTCTATATCAAATTGTCTACTTTACCCTCATGAAAAGATTAATCAATTTTATATCACTTTGACACAATTTTTTAAAAGAGCAAATAGTTTCTATAAGAAGTCATAATAATGTTGCTATTATCTAGGTGAGTCCACTTGCTTACGTTTGTAATTAGATTTTAATCAATTATTCTAGAACAAATGAAGAAGAAACAGAAATTCCATTAATAAATACAAAGAAGTATATAATTCCAACTCCAAAGAAATCATTTTATTTTATGTGAAGAAATTTACCGTGGTCGAAATTTGAAGCTGATTATGCTCTCATTATTTCTTGGTCGAAGTTATATTTTTTTGAACTCATTTTTTTTTGACAAGTTTTATTTAGTAGTAGCTGTTATATATGTTCAAATTTCAATTTTTTGATAAGGTATTTTTTTCC